TATATATATATATATATACATATATATATATATATATACATACATATGTCATCTAACTCCTCCTAAACCGCTGGTCGTACCGTTTTTCAAATGGTACCAAACGAACTTTCTCGGTACCGAGATTTGGATAAAGGTAAAATTATTCACCACACCACTTGGGGCTGGATCCCGGGGATTTCCCTAAAACCTCTTCTGCTAAATTGCTGGACTCGCCAATTTGTAAATGGTGCCAAACGAATCGTCTCGTCCACGAGGTTTGCACAAAGATAAAACTTTTCACCGACCCCTTTAGGGAACCTGGGTATTTTACGAAAACAATAAGTAGGCCTACTAACCATATCCTCTTGCTACTACAGCTCCTGGAATAATAACGAACAGAAATAAAATGTGATTTCTACCAAAAACAGATATGAATCAGATGTACTTCCGCAGGGTCTGTGAAAGTGTTCTGTTTCAAGAGTAAAGAAAACCAAAACTAAGAGTAACAAATATTTTTATTTCTTGCTTTTGGAGATCATAAGTCATGCTATGTTGTGCAACGTACAGAATGCATAATTCTTCTCGTGATTCATGGCATACGTACGTTTTACTGATGCCACGACAGTACAAATTGCAACGTTAAGCGTCCCTTATGTGACGTCATTTTAGTGCCTACTGACTGACAGACAACACACTACTGTAAAGTGGTGCGAGTAGTTAAAACAGGCGACTCCTCCAGGCAGTCTTTGGCCCCCCTTTCGGGGAAATTACCGTTATTAACTAGGTTAAGGACATTAAATTTGCATAATAGCGGCAATTAAACTCAAAAGTGCAAAACAGTAGTTCAAGCATTAAATTTACATTAGAGCGGCTCTGTAAATGTGGGCCATAGACCCACGGGTTCGCTAGTTCAGTACTATTTCTTCTCAACCTTGTTAGAAATATTTCTCTTATATTTCATATCGGCACTCAATAAGTAATTAAGAGTTCATGTGTTATGTGTTTTTCACAATAATTATCATTGTTTTGGTGTACTTTTTGTAACGTTAAGCTATAAAATTGAGGTTGTAAATTCCATAAAGAATTAATTCCTGCTAAAATAAAAGTTCATCTTTCATAGTTTTGAGTAGAAACTGGGGAGTTTCTAAATATGTTAGAGTTTAATGTTTCAGATATTCTAACTGCATAACAGATTTCTGTAGATTCCACCTAGTTTAGACCCTTGACTGTTGTGCAGACTATCATTAGTCACCAAAAGGTTGGACGCTAGACTGAGAAAAGGTTGAGAAAAATTAAAAAATTGCGATCACCGTATTTTTTTTTATCTTTTTTTTATGTTCTAAAGTTCTAAATTATTACGTTACACTCCTTCACTGAGTCATGATACTGCACACGCGGTGTGATATTCAGTTCAGCTGTTTGCACACTGCAACATTCAAGCAGAATCTTAAAGATTGATAATTGGTATAATTGTTCGATGTATTAATATGTTAAAATTATCATACAGTTTACCTTAGATACAGCAATAATTAGTACGTTGATCATATGGTACAAATATCATGTAGTAATATTTCGTAAAAATATCCAATGGATATAACTGCCATCTAGTGTTATTATATACGTAACATACTAAATTTTAGATTATATTATTTATTATTACTGTTTATATGCCACGAATTTCGTATATTATGTTACTAATATATAACAGAAATGACATAAAATGTCTCAGGCTAAACGAAAATATGTGAGTGGTTCTGGTTTCCCGATAGTCCCTTAATTTGTTTTCGATACTTATTTTCCCTTAAGGATTAAAAATTACACTTTAATCTAGAAACAACCGATTAAAAAAATCTTTACCTACCTCCCCCCTTTTGTTATTGTTGTTCAGGAAACCAAAAACATACACCTTTTTTATTTTTTTAAAGCCTTACAGACTAACATTTCACTCAGTAAACTATCTGGACGATTCTTTCCTAGCCTAATTCCGTTATAACACGGTTTTTAAAAAGATCGTCTGCCCGAAACGTCGTCGCACAAGATAAATTAGAAAAGTTTTTATTTAAAGGTGTCAATTTATCCGATATTATCTTTTACCCACGTATCTGGATGAATAGTGACTTACCGACTTTAATATCCCCTATACTCCAAAATACCCTTGGCCAAACGGAGCTTAGGGTCAATATGCTTGTTCCAGTTGGGATAGGGAGCTGTTCCTTGTACGTACAACCATCACTACTATACCACTCTGCTGTCAGATAAAGGAAAGGCACTGCAGTGGAGTTGATATCTGAAATTAAATTGGGACATTAGACAACAGAAGTCGTTTAGTATAGTCTAGTTTTTATAATGTCGGAAGAAAAAAACAAACATACATAACCATTCAAATCACTGCATATTTGATACAAACTTTAAAAAAAAGTTAATACGAAGTTTTCTGTAGAGAATTATTAAATAAATTACAGAATCAAAGGCTTATTTCTAATGTAAATAAAAACTAAAGTTCAACGGCTGCTCAATTTTAGTTTGGAAAACAACAACCGCACGGTTTACAAGACGAATCTTACAGCAGAGCATCAATAGTGAACAAGACCACATACTCACTGACCAACCAAAAATGATGTGCTTAAAACGTAAGTAGCCTGGTTAAACATAGAATAATGCTTGTCCTTCACGTGCCTTCGTTGCACGATCAGATGATGTGTGCTGAAATAAACTAGCGCAGATATTATACAGGGGATTTAATATTACGCGGTAGTAATGTAGAGTGAATGAGATAAGAAACAATTCAATCAAAAGTCATTTATTATTTTTAATGTTAATATATTAAGAAAATTTACTGTATTGTAACTGAGAATTTGCGAAGAATGGCACACAACGTGATTAAAATACCCTTGAGTAATAAAGACGATGATCCACGTTTTGCAGATAAAGGTCACGAAGTTTTTAAACGATTGTGATTTTAAATATATCTGATTTCCTGTTCAAAAATCGTTTCTTAGAAATCTCGTGCTCATGCGCAATACGAGGTTAATGTATCAGTTCGAAGGTGACATTTATCCTATAGACAGACGTCAAAGTAAATTTTGGACTCAATAAGCACCTAACCCAAATTTTACTTTATCTGATCAAAATCTTTATCACTCTTAACGCTGCGGTCGTAAAACAAAACAAAACAAAGACAGTGTTAATATATTTAAAAGTAACAAGAAAAGAGCACTGAAAGGGTGCTTTTACTATCTTTATATAAATAAAATAGCAACAAAAATATGATCAAACCTATTTACAACGTTAGAGCTTACTATCAAGTTATCTTGATTATCAAACTATTTCTGCATGAGTTGCTTTTTAAATGAGCAGCTTTACGAAATTCGAAATTTCAAAAAACAAACTAAAAAAGACATATTAGACTTATTTTAAAGGAGGCGCAGTAATTCAAAGGGTATGTGCCCTGTCAAAGTAAAATGCATTTGAATTAATATTAACATAATCAGAATCAGTAACTTATTAAACATTGCAAAAATCAAGACAGAGAAAATGTATAGAAAATGAACTAACCTTATTTTGTACGGCCGCCACCGCAACTTTCATTGTTTAAATAACAACAGATTGCTATTGTTGTCCCTCATGTAACAACAATAAAAAACAACAACAAACAATAAGAGACGATCGGAAAATGCCGAAAGCTCTTCGGATGGACGGCACGATAAGCGATCTCGAAGTTTTAAGGTGATGACGCGAAGTATTCCGCCATAATATAGTTCCTAGGTGGTCACAATATGTTACATAAGTTGCAAAGATGCCTAAAATTTAAAGACGTTTAGAAGAATTCAATAGAACGGGATATTCAGATTCAAAACGGAAGAAAATATATTTCAAATTGATTTTATAAAATACTTATCGTTCCGTTTTACGAACGAAAGAATGATCTTGGCATGACATGCATGGTACTTTTATATTTCATTTTAACATTTAGCTATAGTTTGACTGTCAACCATCGCACTTCTTTCAAAAGTGCCCAGTTTCACAGCTAGTACGATGCTAGAGACACTTCAATGAATGACTTTACATACAATTAAGGATGCGATTTGATTTTCACATATCCAACCGGTAATACAGTATATGCATATAGTAATTTTGTGCGTCAATTTTAGCACATGAACATGTAAATGTATTACACGAACATTTATATTTAGCAAATTTACATGCTTATGTAGTAAATCTCATGTTGAGTGTATCCACACGCTTATACACGAACTATCATGCATTGTATGCATCTATACAATTAGTGTGTGCTTACACCATATTACTGGCTGACTGTGGGTGTGCAACCCATGTTAATAACAAGTTACAATAAAACAATTAAAATATTAGTATCACCCATATTAATAAATCATACTAATGTTTTAATTGTTTTATTGTAACTTGTTATTAACATGGGTCATACTAATGTTTTAATTGTTTTATTGTAACTTGTTATTAACATGGGTCATACTGTTTTAATTGTTTTATTGTAACTTGTTATTAATATGAGTCATGTTAATGTTTAATTGTAGCTTGTTATTAATATGAGCCATGTTAATGTTTTAATTGTTTTATTGTAAAGCTACACAACAGGTTATCGTGCCTTGGATTTAATTTTGTAAGTCGTAAACTTACCACTGACCCACTGGGAGACATCATGCTAACGACATATATATATATATACAAATCACTGCGGCTGTATTATATATGTCTCTCTCTATATATATATATCCCATAAAATATCACAGATGTTTTTAAGAAACTGGTTGTTATAAACTGTTGAAGGTATAAATTTAAAGCAATTTTCTAATGTAGAGGGATAAATTCTGTATTTAAACAAATTATTTAATTCAACAGATAAAATATACCTAACTTCTCAATTTCAACAAGCACAAGCAAAATGTACTTAAGATGTTTCTCATCGCTATAGCAACTGTTTCAGTATCTTTGGTTTAAATTTAGAACCTCTAAAAGTTGGTTGGTGTTACTGTCACCATCTTATGTTCCTTAGCATGGTAAAATATCAGTTAACGAAACCTAAAGTGTAACAAGAAAGAAGAAAAGAAAAACACATTAAAATGACTGCATGTATGAAAACGATCTTTCAAACAAGACAACCTCCATTACAACTGCTTGATTTATGTGTTATTTACTCTACTTATTCTAACATACATTTATCGAAGTGCCAGTGTATAAATAGTGACGTGAGTTTGTCTTGTTCACGTGTCTCCGCCATACTCGGAGCTGAATCACTAGAATTCATTTCAAAAAAAACTTTCTCTGAGATACTATTCATTTAAAAAAACCTTTTCTCCGAGATACTATTCATTTTACAAAACGTTTTCTCTGAGATACTATTCATTTTACAAAACGTTTTCTCTGAGATACTATTCATTTTACAAAACGTTTTCTCTGAGATACTCTTCATTTTTCGAAAGTGAATTAGGTGCACACCACAACTCTCTTGCCAACATTTGTTTTTAAGAACTACACGTTTTTGGAAATGGCATTTCTACACATGTGATGCGTCAGCACTTTGAACAAAGTAACTCTTTTCTCAGTGTGCTTTGAGACACAAAAATAACACAACTTATAATTTATAATAACGAATCGTTTATATTTTCTCGGTGTTGCTGCTTTTTAGATTCCGGAGAATCGGAAGGATCACTGAAATGATCTGAAACAAGCATCATCAGGGTTTAATCAAAGTTAGGTCACAATGTTTTTTTTTTCTCTCTTCTTATATTTCTTTCAGTCATAATACCTTAATTCTATATTCTATCACAAATTAATATGGGAAGGTACTGTTTGGCATTACAATGGTTTGGATGCAAACCAACCAGCCATACTTAGCTAGCTGTATTATGAGGGTCATGACCCCTTAAGATTGTTTAGAATTATTGCGCAAAGCTATAATAACGACTATCAGTGAATTAGCCGTCCCTAATTTTGAGTTGATAGGTTAGATGGAAGGTAAATTATAATGAACAGGACTCACCGCCAACTCTTGTTTGACCGAACAGTGGGACTTAACAGTTACTCTTATAGTGCCACCTACGTCCCCAAAATGCGGAGCGCATTTTTGTGGTAATGGGAAGTGAAATATAAACCCTAGATTTTACAGTCCGGAGAATAATTAGACCACGCACTACCCACAGCCACTTTAGAACGGAATGATCTCTGTAATCTGTGGTAGGAACTGATAACTGAAAAACTGCTTAATATTAAAGAGCGGATAGCTAGTCAAGCATAAATTTACGTGAAATATTGTCAGTTACAGCACAAATAGCGAACCAGTCAGACGATGTATATATATATATGAAGTATGATGAATAAACTTTACTAATTCATTAGTTAGACAAGATTTTATTAAAGAGATTTTTGACCGAAATCCCTGCAGTTTAGGCAGATATTTTCGTCAGGCCTACAAAAACTGACACATCAAACACCTAAACAAATTCGGTAGTATTTTATAACTCGTCACACCTTCAATACTTTAGTTTGTTTTTAATACGAATCAATGTAATTAAAATCAAATCAAAAATTTGAAAAAGTCCTTAGTTCGCTTACGAGGAAGCGCAACAAAACAATTCCGATTAGGCCTTTGTGTACAGTCTGAAGAAAACGTAACAACTTATGCCGGCCAGCTACTTTTTCAATAAAGTACATATCCCTCCGAAAAGTCCGAAGGAATATGGAATTATACATAGCTAATTAATTTTATTTTATAAGAAACTACGATAGGAAGACCGACACAAGTCAATGTTTCTTTACGGTATCTTACGTATTGAAGTTCGTATTTATACGTTTTCCCGAGCCCAACAAAATGTGTACTACATGATATCACTGTTGTTAAAAAAGGGATTTCTTGGGCTCGACATCTTGTTCTTTTTTTTTTAACCCACTTCAAAACATTAACTTAGGCTCCAACGGATTTTGTATTAGCAACAAATCCAACAAAAAAAGAAAAAAATATCCGTTTTAAAGATGTCAAGTTGTTTTTCATTATATTGCTTTACATGCTAAAAAAACAACAAAAAACTTTAAAAATATTTTCATAGTTGGTTCCGTAGAATTTAACAGTAGATATTATACCAGACTGATTATACAAATTCAGAAAGTTCTAGTAATCAACGGCAATGATTGCATTTTTATTCTTTCTGGCGTCGCAGCTTCAGGATCAGACGTGCTCAATTATCATTGACTTCGTGTAAATAGATAGACAGATAAAGAAAAGGAACTTTCAGCGTCGCTTAAAATGCATAC